CGCATAAAATAATATAAATTTAATATTTGTCAAAATGTTTTTTAGCCATTTCGCTTTTTAACAATCTTCAGCAAAATAATTGTATATAAAGCAATAGAAATCTAAATACTATATAAAATTCTAAAAATACACTACAGAACATTTTCAACTCCTCAACTTTCATTTGCACTAGCCTATATGTAGGTAGGTAGACGTAAAACAATGCAAAACATAGTTAGTATATAATAGCACGTAACTAAATAATATTTAGTATACATAATTGTACATATTTAATATTTATTTGCATTTTTATAATTTAATTTAATTAAAAATATGTATGTTTATTTTAAAATTGAAATGCATTTGAGGTATATTGATTTTTGTTTGTAGTTGCTGCAACATAAAGTTTGCTTTGTTTCACTTAAAAATAAAATGTTTTAAAAGTAATAAGCTTAACATATGTATGTGTAAATGTCATAGCTAAAAGTAGTTAAGCGGAAAGTCGAGCGCTTTACTAAATGCAATACACACAAAAAAAAAACAAAAAACAACAAAATCTTGATGTTGATAGCAGAAAGGACAAAAGTTTGAAATCGTCTAGTTATGCTAGTAAGTAAATGTATAATTGTATACTGGAAANGTTTAACTCGTCGTATAGTAGTTGGTGTATCTTCTTTCGCATCTTCGAATCTGCTATATATGCAATTGCAACCTTCCGCTACTAAAAAGCTAATCGTTACGTAAGGAACAGGTGTTTTGTGGTTGCTGTTATACATATAATATTAAGGTTACGCTTTTAACCCTAGTGCGCTGGCGTTATTAACATTTTGCATTCTGAGGCAAAAAAGGGCGGGTTTAAGACGCTGAGATAAGAGTCGCCTAAATATACATAATATTTGATAGCTATAATCAAAGAATGTAACTATAACCAAATTATGTGTTGAGACTGACATATTTAGTAGAACGTAACTTAACACTTTTCTCAGTGTAAATTATCCATGCGTGGTTTTCTAAAACTGTAAAACTTTCATAAATACTACTTTTTTGCCTAGTTTATGAGCTTACTATTAATTGCAAGAACCACTTTTTAAATAATGAGCAAGCCCTCGCTCTTCTCGAAAGGGTGCGACTATACCAGGGTTAAAAATTAGGTTTGTTATGCATTAGATTTTTATGTGTGCTTTTTTATCCTTTATCTGTCATTTTTTTCGTTACCATTTACAACCTGGTTCACACCGAGCGCTTATTTTTTTTTTTGTTTACACTAACAAATAAGTGTACAAAATTTTAAATGTCGTGTATGTATATGTACTCGTATGTATCTTGCATGATACCCACTATTATTTTTAGATCAAGTTATGTACTTGTATGACAAGTGCAAAAAAACCACTTTCTGCATTTTGATTATATGTCCAAAGTTGTAATCTTTAAAGCTTAGCAAATATTAAAAAAAAAATATTAAAAATCTACATCTAAAAAAACTTTTAGTTTATTGAGCTTAGTTGAAATTTTTGTTGCTATTGCTATTGCAATTCTGCGAAATCGCGTACAATTTTGTTTCAAGTACATTTATCAGAAACCATAAGTTTACACACTGAAACGCTTTCTTTTATCCCTTATTTTATAGCTACACGAAAATGCTGGTAGTATTTTCACATTTAAATATTTGAAAACCGTTTAATTGGATAAAAATTACATCTATATAATTTAGTACATATTTTTGATATATAAAATTCGTCATATCTACACGCTTCTCATTTCAAGCGTTACTTTTGTCAAAACGATTTTCTCATTTTCTTGTATTTTTTTTTCTTATTATGTATTGTTTTTATTATTATTTTTCCATATCTACTAAAAAGTTAATTTGAGTTGATTTATTTTGCAAATATTTATTAATTTTCGGTGCAAACCACTGATTTTAGTTTTACACAATCAGCTGCTCAGCGGTGCAGTAGAAACATAGAAGCACCAAAATGTTTTGCGGTTGGTAAATATTACCGTATTTAACATTTAAATTACATAATGTAAATGTCACATTTTCCAATTGATTATTTATCTCGTTTTCATCTGTCGCCGCCGGGTTATGGCTCATCTCTTTAGAGCAAATATAAATTCGCAATCAATTTGATAATTTCCTAGATGCGCTCTGAATATATACACTCTCTTAAACATGTTGAACGCCTGCGCTCAGAGCTAGCAACCCCGCGACTGCGAGGAAGAACTATTTAAAATTGTTATTATTTATTTTATTTTGAAAAAAAAATTGTTTTATTTTTATATCGTGGTTTTTGAAGTTGTTTCAGGCTTTTAGCGTTTTTTGAAACTAGCACCTACGCGCACATTAGGGTGTTCCATAATATAAGAGGGATTTTTTTGTTTGAATAGACAGAGCACCCCAGAGATAATATGTATGTGATCATCTGCTATGCCACTCTGGACTCTCTCTCTTCGGCTTGTGACAGCAGAAAGATGAGGGTTCAATGATTGAACTTGGCTACACAAGTTTTGTAGCAGACCATTTTCGAGCGCAATAATCCGCTTTACCATGTCTCGAAACACCACTCTGTTGTGAAACCCTTTAAAGTATTTGAATATAAAAAACATTACAGTAAACTGGGAGTCTGTAAGTTAGATGCCGATGCCATTCCTATGGCAATTTTTGTTATTATCTCGTCATTACTTGAAATGGTCTTATGTGGCGAACTTTCAAGCCGTGTCCAAGGTCGATCTCTGTAATCTCAAAGTCTGTAAGTCAAAGACTCTCTGCTTAACTACAACTCGACATTTGGCTATCAATTCAGAGAAAAATATATTCAATTTCAATCCTAGAGATGGAAACATTCGAAATGATGAAAATATAGATCCACAACGATTTAAATAGCTTTATACGTATTTAGTAAGCTAGGTTTATTTATGTATATATATAATTTAGGAATTGATACTCTAGGAATGGCGTAATAAATTTATGGTAGTTATTTGGTTTCTGCTTCCAGAGGTTAATCATATATCTATCTATTTATGTATGTATGTATGCCCGAATTGGATAAAAAATGGCACGTAACGAAAATGAAATCAGTAGATACTTTCAATAGATCCTTTGATCCACGTATCTTATATGTATCCTAATAAGTACAAAGGATTTAAAAATGCAGTTTCCACATACTTGAATTTACCAAACCATAATTTTCTGGCTTAACAAAAGATTTTGTATGCCACTTACATTTTCTAGAGAAAAAATTATATTCAAGTTGTTAATTTTGATATTCAAGTTGATAATTTTGATATTTTCGACGCGACGACAATTTATTAAGTTGTTTTTATTTAGCTATTAGCTTTGTTTTAGTTATTTTATTGTACACCAATTTTTTTAGTGAGCCAATTTTTGAGCGATTGCTGCTTCGCTAAATATTTAGACGTGTTTTAAGGACCTTTATAGTGTTTTTAAAATCTTTTGTTATATATTTACAATGTTTTTTTTTTTTGTAGTAAAAACTAATCTATTAATGTATGTATACTTTTCCAAATAAATTTTTTTTTAAATAATTCGCCAATAATTTTAGATTACAAAATTTGAAATTGAAACGTTGTCCAATATTTATGATTCGTTATCCAATTACTTTGGTTGTGACCCCATCGTTTATTATATTTTCACATAATTTTTATTTCAAAAGCGCTCATTAGGGTAGTCCAAACATTCATTAAGAAAGCTAATTTTTGGAATTTTCTTGCTTTCTCCCCATTATTTTTTTATATCTATATTTATTTATGTTGCAAATTAAGTAAGCTTCAAAATTTTACCAAAGAAACATTTCTGAAGAAATATTTTTATTATTTAAAAAAAATATTTATTTTTAACGGGTTTATAGCGATTCTACAAGAAATTTATTTTCCTATATGATTTCAAAATTTAAAAAATACGGGTCGCTTTATATTCGATATTCTTCAGTTCTGGAGGGTGGCTGAAAAAAAATAAAACAACTTTTTTTGGATCACCCTAATTTACACATCAGTATCAGTGTAAACTTTTATAATAAAAAAAAAGTAGTGCCAGTAAATTTATAATTTTTCTCTTTGATATTTGCATGTGTGCAAAAACATACATACGTACGCATTTATGCTTTTGGTTTTGGGATTTTTCGACATTTAAAGTCTGGCATTTTCAGTAATTTTACGAAATTATGCAAATGCAATTTATTGTTTTGTTTTTTCTATTGCTTATTTTAATTTTTGTATATCATTTTTTATACATATATACTCGTATGAATAGATATAGTCTTATATGTACATACAGATATTTAATAGGACGTAGTTGCTATCGATAGACAATCGATTAACGAAATAGTACCAGGCTAATAGTAATTATGTAATTATGTAGTTATAAAATATAATTTATATATACATAAGTAGTAAGTATTTATACAGTAAGTGTGTATGTATGTATATTAGTAAACATACATACATACATACATACATTATTAAATAATTAACGATAGTAGCATGCAATTACATATGAAATGTGTGCAAATCAATATATGAATGGCAACTGGGCTTGCTAGTACATACATACATGCATTTATTTATGTATACATAAGTATTTTGTTAGTTTTGCATTTTGGTGGAACAATTAGCGCTTATTTTGCTTTTCGGTGGTGGCTGCTGGTTGACTTGCTTTGCTGTTGGCTGCTGTCATTTCGTCGTTCTCAGTGCGTCACCCAACAACTCCTGTTGTATTTAGCTAATCAACATCTTTTATTGTTTCTTATTTTATCAACATTTTGCTTTTTGACAGTCTGTTTGTGTTTAGCTGCGGACACAATTTCTTTCATTTTTTATTTGGCGTTTGCGTGTATGCGTATCTATATGTATTTCTTACTGCCTCTTCTGCTATTATTTTCCCTAATTATATAATAGCGTTCAGCTAGTTTTTTGTGCTTTATCATTATTTTATTATTTATTTCATTATGCTGCTCTTCGGTAGCCGCTTAGGAATATTCTCTAAAATTATTATTAGTATTTTTTGCTTTTTTTTAATTCCATACAATCAATGAGTTTATCTGTGTATTTAGCTCCCTCCAGTAGTGTACATTACAGCCTCTCTTCGCGCCGCCGCCGCCGCCGCCCCTGTCGCTGCAGCCTCTTTTTCGGCCTCTACCGCTGCCCCGGCCACTGCTGAGCTTGCTTACAAAGTTGGACTCAATTTGAGCAATCTTTCTGGATGTTTCACCCGCAAGTGTGAGCGCAGCGTATCGATGCGACTATAGGTGGCCGGACAGTAGGGACAAAGTGAACGTTGCGCGGTGTGTGAGTGAAAGTGATGCCATCGATTGGTGACCTCCTTGCCACAGGAACGGCAACGCCACATTGTGCCCGGCTCGCGTGATTGTGTGAACATATTATGATAGGACATTTGATGATGGGAATTGTGTACAATGGCGCTATTACCACCTGGCCCATTACCTAGAACGCTTTGATTCGCCGTTTGATTGTAGAGGTGCGAGGCTGGACCGCCATTAGTGCCGCCGTTGCCACTGCTTGCACGTATATAGTCCAATGGATGATATTCGTTTTTTAACGCTGCACTCAAATGCATGGTGAAAGCGTGTGGCGGTGGTGGTGGTGGTGGCGGTGGTGAACCGGATGATGCGGTCGAAAGCGGTGTGGCGGATAGATGATGTCGTCCCATTTGCCCTGTAACCAACGAAAAAGAACACACACCACGCCATGGAGGGCGATAATCAGCCCGAGAGAAACAAATAGAGAGTAAACAGAGAGAAAAAAAGTACATAGTGTGTATGTATGTATGTATGTGTAATATGTTTGAAGCATTTATTCTATGCAAGAATGTGTGTGCGTGTGGGTGTTAGGAAGTTTCCGTAAGAAGGTAATTTAACGAATTTTCTTTAACTAATGCTTTTCTTATAAATACTAATTATTCGACACGTATGCTAACAAATGTTGTTGTTGTAGTTGTATGTGCAGTTTGGTGAGAAGAAATGCAATAAAGAGGGCAAAAGCGCCTAACTTTACGCATCCACAAAGTGGATCAAAGCTTAAATTATTTTATATATGCATCTATACATATGTATGCGTTAAGAAATATATGTAGATATGTATCTGAAGTAAGTATATATGTATGTACCTTTGTATGTATATGAATGATTTTGTATTAAATGCTTCTGCATATTGCACAATAAATTATGAAGCGTAAAATACTTAATGTTCCAAATGCAGAATAAATGCAAAATTCATAAAAAACATAAATACCGGTTGGGTACACTAGGGCGGTGCGATTATAATGTATGATGTATGATGTACATACATATGTACTTACATATATGCAGCATAAATTTTGTCTTAATACTACACAAAGTGTAAATGCTTTAGTGACAATACGAGCATCTGGGCAGAAGCCGAAATGAAAATTATATTTTGAAATAGTACATACTAAGGCATATGAAACTGCATATTTTACTGTTGCATTGATCCATTTTTTGCATGGCCCAATAATCAGCGTTTCTGCTCCTGATTTAAGCGACCCCTCCTAAAGATGGGGTTCAAACGCTTATTTTTATGAAACACGGTTTCCCATGAAATTTTTTTTTGGCAATTTAGAATTTTTGTGAATAAAATAATAAACAGTATTGACACTTTCCAGGCCAAATAATAATAAAAAAATATATAATAAATGGGCTGATCTATTGAACTACCTGTTCAACATGTCCTGGTATATGAGCAAATCTCACAAGTGTTTTTGTTTGTCACTCACAAAAAACGCTTGAGGATTCTTGTTGCCTTTATTTCAATCAATTTGAACAGTTTTAGCCTTAAAACGTTTATTTACGCGAAAAATATCGAAATTACTAGTTTTTTCATTGTCACTCAAAAAAATTATAATAACTTTGGGAAGTTTTCAATTACAATGTTCATATTAGAGGCAATGCAAGTTGGCATCAAATACAGTATACCTGTGAAGTTTCAAGAGTGTGCCACCAATTAAAAAAAATGGCAGCATACAGAATATATGTGGCAGCCATTTTGTAATTTTTTGTAATTTAATGATTTTTCCAATTTAAAAGTAAAAGACTCTTCTTCGTTGCCAAACGAACCAATCTAGAGTAATAAAACTAGTGTGCCACCAAATAAAAAAAATTTAATTGGTTTTAAGATGACAATGATTTGCAGAAACAAAACTTCCAATATTTTGCACACCCGAAATTCATTCGGAAATTGTTATAAAAATGTAGAAATTAATATAAATATTCGTGAAGGACTCTGTAGAAAAATATTCCACGTCAATATTTAATTACTTTTAAATAATATGACATTAAGGCGAGACAGCGTGTGAGTAAAAGTGTTAGCTGACTGTGTATGGAGCTACAGGGCGTATACGTTACATACAAAACTACAGGTATTTGAGCACGAGTTGTTATTTAGACTTTTTTTGGTACCTATATCTCTTTTAAGTTTCCATTTAAATGCTATTTCGCGATGGAACCCTGTTCTTTATGGTGGCATAACCATTTTCGACCAAAAACACGTTTTTGTTGAAAAATATAACAACTAGTGAGATTTGTTCATATACGCATGTATGTAAGTATATTATTGATTGCTAAAATTTTAACCAATTTTTAGCAACATACGTATATAACAGACTGATATATTAGATATGGAATGACAACGATGATTGACTGGGTTGGTACTCATACAAACAAAAAAATATTTAAATTCTCCCGGCTGTGAAAACTTACTTTGCGAGGATTTGGGTTCTACAAATTTTAGCCAAAGGTCGCTGGAAATAAGTTTATTCTACTCCTTTGTACACATCTNATAGTATGAAACTATTCCATTTCCATATACTTTGAAATTGAGTCATAAATAAAAAAACATTTTGAAGTTATAAGAAATTTCGATGTGACTGTTTTTCCTCTCCAGGAGGGGTATTTTCAAATAGTCTTTTTTCGAACGAATCGAATGTATGTACATATGTATTACACAAATTGACCCGCTTTAATGCACACATACAAGTATTTTAATTTATTAAGTATTCAAATAGTTTGACTTCAAAGTCAAACAAATGTTTAAGTGATACAGCATGTATACAGTATACAACAACAAGAAGTAGCATATGTGCTATTTCAGATGAGTGTGTTTTTGTGGTGTATGTATGTATTTGTGTATGTGTGTATATGTATTTGTGTATGAGTATATGCAGACAGTGATAGTGATGATAAGAATGTGAAATGGCAAACTTAATACTATAAGGAAGTAAAAGAAAATTTGTTTGAGAAAAATCACAAGGAGTACTGCAACACGTTGAACAATAATTGAAGAATAAAATAAACAAAAAAGATAAATACAAAAAATGCATGTACTTAAGCGATTCATTTAAAATACTAAGCTGAAAAACCTAAGAAAGCGTCAATAAATACATATTTCTTGAATACGATGTGATTGGGTAGGGATGTGGATAATTGTTTTCGTAAATTTACTCAAATGGATCTCGAGCCGAAAGCGTATGTATTTGTTGTTTTGGTATGCGAATTGAATTCAAAAAGTTTACCTAAATTTCAAAATCGAAAACTTAAATAGTACCGTATGCCTCTGCTTTCGATGAGAGCTCAATTCTATTAATTTTTTGTATCACTTTTTTTATTTTTTTGTACCACTTTCAAATCAACGTAATAGCCCATTTCCACCAAGAGTTTGGAAAGAGTTAAAAGAATTTCACTATGGGATGATCGGAAAGGTGTATTTTTTACTGCTTGTTTTTTTTTACTGTCGTTTGCTTCTGCTTAATATAAGCAATAACCCCCTCGAGTTGTAATAT